AAGTATAGCTGTTGTAGCATACCTACGGACGATAATAGTAAATACTGTATGTTGCTCTGCATTTGAAGATTCGTGCTGGTCAAACTCGCTGCCTCCGGGAAGAGAGGATCCCCAGACGAGGCCATGTCGAAGGGCAGAGTCTCGTCTCGTCTCGTTTTGTCTCGGAAAACAGCTACCCGTCCCCGTTTTATACGGTGTCTACTGGGAATATTTGGCCGAGCCTACGGGTTCGGATACCTCATTAAATTCGGCCTTGTGCCACATCTAACCGCGTGGGGTGGTTAGTAGATATCCTGCACTTGGATATTCGTCTCCAGCTGTGCTGGCCAAACTCTCTGCCTCCGGGCAGAGATGATCACCAGACAAGGCTATGTCGAAGAGCAGAGACTCGTCTCGTGAAACAGCTACACGACCCCGTTTTATACGGGGTCTACGGGGAATTTTTGGCCGAGCTTACGAGTTCAGATACCCAACACTAAATTCGGACTTGTGCCACATCTGACCACATGGGCGGTTGGTAGATATCCTGCAGTTGGTGATTCATTGTGGAATTCACTTGACTCAGCTTCTAGCAGTTGACTACTTCTTCTACGCGCTGCTGGCGAATCTTATAGATTTTGTTCTTGTCCTAAGTATTATCGTTTATTACCAACCTTCATTTATTATTCTATTCAGTTACTTTCCCTAGGTTACAACAGATAGATAGATAGATAGATAGATAGATAGATAGATAGATAGATAGGAAGAGAAAAAATAGACAGAAACGAAGACATAGATATCTAGATATATATAAAGATAGATAGATACAGAGATAGATATTGGCAACAAGGTTTCATCAATTTACATTTGAATTGGTTAGATGTAACTGTAAGTTCTATGCTAACGGTTTCTTTTCTCCGTGCTTACCCGTCAACTTTGAGCTGCAGAAATTTAAATGCAATGTCAATCCTGATTTCTCTTCTCTTCTTCTCGCTCCTTCATAATGCTTTCTGTTTTCTAATTCTTTCACACCTAGTAACCCCTTATGTCTTAGTAGCTTTACTACCATGCTTGGGGTAAATTTGATTTTAAAAAAGAACAAAAATAGATATGAACAGACTGAGATAGATAGATAGATAGATAGATAGATAGAGACCAACAGACTGAGATAGATAGATAGATAGATAGATAGATAGATAGATAGATAGATAGATGAAGAATGAGACCAACAGACTGAGATAGATAGATACCAACAGACTGAGATAGATAGATAGATAGATAGATAGATAGATAGATACCAACAGACTGAGATACCAGATAGATAGATGAGATAGATAGATAGATAGATACCAACAGACTGAGATAGATAGATAGAAAGAAAGAAAGAAAGAAAGAAAGAAAGAAAGAAAGAAAGAAAGAAACAGACTGAGATAGATTTGCTGATTTTCGAGACAGACCAGCTTCCCTTGAACGATTGATTGATTTCTTTTCCTTCATTTCTCCCCTCTTTGAGTTCGTGCCGTTCTCAACTCAGCTAAGCTAGATAAATATTTGTTTTAAAATAACAATAGTAGCGAACACGTCCTTAAAGACGACACAGGAGTAGACAAAATAAGAGAAATAGAACTGAAGACTTGGCAAAGTTTGAACACTATTGTTTCCAGGAAAGCAAAATGGAAGAAACATTGCTGGACTAAAATTAAGAAAGTGTGGAGACCATAGTAGCCCACCATCTGAAGGGACACAGCACACAGAAAAAAGAAAAGTGCAAAAGAAAGTGACATTGACTAGCTCCAGAATGTGAAATCGGAGAGCCGAGTTCGAACTCCAGTCAGTCGGGTTCGATACATTCACTTATGCTCAAATACCCCTGAGAAAGGTACGAGTCCGTCTTCTTCCCCCAGCTATGGGTTAAATAGTAGATCAAACCTGACTCTTCTTCCTTGGTTGGAAATCAGTCTAGGAGAATGAAAACTCTATGTTAAAAAAAACGTATGTTGTCCTGGCGAAGCACATAATATGCAGCTGATGTAAAGATCGTGGAGTTCACAATGACTTTATGATCCCGTCTGCGGTTGGCCATTGGTTGTTATTATTGGTGAGGATTAGTCCCTCCGTCTTTTATTTATTTATTTATTTTGTCGTCTTCTCTAAAACCCTTTTTCATACACATTTTTTTCTTCAACCTTTCTCATTTTGCATTTTCTTCGATCTGATGTCCACGCCATCTTCCCTTAGCGTCTCTCAACATTACTGTTTCATACGTCCATATTTTCTTCTTCCGTCCTTCTACGCTATATTCATCCTTCTTTTCCCAGACCTTCTGTTTCTCGTTTTGCTTTACTTCCATCTTTGTTGGCTGCTTCTTCACTGTCACCTTCCTTCAGTCTAACACTTCTCTCCTAACTGCATGTTTCTTTTTAAATAAAACAGAAGAATTCATTACCGGAATAAATAGAATAAATAAAAAGGTATCATTGTTAATGAAATAGAACGCAACGAAAAATTAGGCAGGCGACTTGTGGCTTCTAAGAACGAAGGAAAGAGAAAGAGAAAATACAGGAAAAAGGAAGAATCGGTAGTTCAGATGAAGGAAAAAGAAAAGAAATCAGAGAAAGAAAGAAAAAAGTAATGAAGAAGAAAGAAGGGAAGACAGTAATAGAGAAAAAAGAAAAGTGATGGAATTAAGAATAACACCTCGAGAAAGGAGACGTTAGTAAGATGAAAGCGAGGTAAAGAGAACAAGAAATGAATAAAAATAGGAGGAGTTAAAGATAAGAATAAAAAAAGAGAAAAAGTGAATTAAGAGAGAGAGAGAGAGAGAAAGAGAGAGAGGGGAACTCATATGGAGTTCAGTTTAATTTCAGTAAGATGAAGCCGGGGTTGATGGGTTGTGTTCGGATCGACATACACAGTAAAAGTGATGGTTTTAGAAATTGTAATCACGATACAAATACCTGTTAGTAATGCAATCAGTCTTTTATTCTTTATATTGCTTCCTGTTGCTTTATTATTTCCCCCAATTTTTTTCTTTCCTTTGGCGTCATTATGGATTGATCCCGTTTCTGATTGGTTCATTTGCCGATCCGCCATTACCCTAATACCTCCAATTATCTAACACTGCACATTGATTACTAAACTATCGATGATTTCTCCACTTTTCATCCCACTGCCCCAAAGATCTCGCAGATTTTACAATGAGGGAGGCGCTCTAATAATCCTCACAGATTAGAGGAAAGTGAAGGACTGGTCTCGCCGGTGTGTAATGCAAAAAATTGTTTTTGAGGTGACCTGAATTGATGCTTATAGCAAGCAGTAAATATAGTCTTGGAAAAAACAGAATTATTTAAATTAAGTGGTCCGCTCGTTAAAGAATAAAGAATATTTTTTTGTAGATGATCTTTTAGAACAGGTGTTCCCAGCCGGGGTCCGCATGGGCCCTAAGGGTCCATGTAATATTTCTGAGGGTCCACAGGCAAAATATAACAAATTAGGGGTCCACAATAATATTTTAGTAGACCATGAAGAAAGGCAACTCAGAATGGTTTTTATTATTATAATAAATCACAGCTCTACGTTATTGCTTTTTACAACTTCTTGTTGAATCAGGTTTTAGTCGTGTTTCTCAACTGTTATCAAAAGTTCGCAATAAACTTGACATGGTAAAAAGAGGTGACCTTCGAGTATCATTAACATCGATAGAACCAGAAATAAAGAAACTCGCTGAGCAGCATCAACCACGGGGATCTCATTGAATAAATATGACTTACTTTTTTTTCTAAACGCACACTTAAATTCGTTCATTAAAATTTTTAACCAGTGTGCATAAATAAATGCTGCAGTGAAGTCAACTATCCGAAGAGCTCTGCTCTCCATGGGCTTTTGACCACGGAGGAAAAATTGTAATATTGTAATACACGATATTGGTCAGTAAAATTATTATTACTATATTAGAACTATAATTATTGTTATTACTACTACTACTATTATTATTATTGTAGGACTATTTATTTGCATTAAATTTGATTTCATTTAAAGTTAAAGCTTAATTATATAATATTTATTTGATTATTAAAAACTCAAAATATTTATTAATGAAAAATAGAATATCTTATGTCAACTAGCCATTAGAGGGTTACCTAAGAAAAAAAGTAGGGAAAAGGGGTCCACCAAGAAAAAAAGAAGGGAAAAGTGGTTCACCAATAAAAAAAGAAGGTAAAAGGGGCTACCAAGAAAAAAAGAAGGGAGAAGGCTTCCACCACGAAAAAAAGAAAGGAAAAGCGGCCCAGAAAGAAAAAAAGAAGGGAAAAGGGGCCCAAAACGAAAAAAAGGGAAAAGCGGTCCACCAAGAGGAAAAGATGGGAAAAGAGGTCCATAACGAAAAAAAAAAAATGGAAGAGCGGTCCACCATGAAAAAAAGAAAAGAAAAGCGGTCCACCAAGAAAAAAAGATGCGAAAAGAGGTCCACCAAGAAAAAAAGATGAAAAAAGGTTTCACCAAGAAAAAAAGATGGGAAAAAGGTTTCACCAAGAAAAAAAGAAGAGAAAAGGGGTCCACCAAGTAAAAAGAAGGGAAAAGGGGGCCAACATGAAAAAAAACGAATGGAAAAAGGGCTCTCTAAGAAAAAAAAAGGGAAATGAGGCTACCAAGTAAAAAAGAAGGGAAAAGTGGTTCACAAAGAAAAAAAGAAGAGAAAAGGGGTCCACCACGAAAAAACGAATGGAAAAGGGGTTCACCAAGAAAAAAAGAAGGGAAAAGGGGGGGACGAAGAAAAAAAAAAGGGAAACGTGGTCCACCCAAAAAAAGAAGAGAAAACGGGTACACACAAAAAAAAAAAAAAAACGGAAAGGGGGTCCACCAAGAAAAAAAGATGGGAAAGGGGGTCCACCAAGAAAAAAAGATGGGAAAAGAGGTCCACCAAGGAAAAAAGAAGAGAAAAGTGGTTCACCAAGAAAAAAGGAGGGAAAAGAAGTTCACCAAGTATAAAAAAGATGGGAAAAGGGGTCCACCAAGAAAAAAAGAAGAGAAAAGGGGTCCACCAAGTAAAAAAAAGAAGGGAAAAGTGGTTCACCAAAAAAAAAAAAAAGAAATGAAAAGGGGTCCACAAAGAAAAAAAGAAGGGAAATGGAGATGCCAAAAAAAATAGAAGAGAAAAGGGGTCCACAAAGAAAAAACGACGGGAAAAGGGGTCCACCACGAAAAAAAAGGAAGGGAAAAGCGGTCCATAAAGAAAAAAGAAGATAAAAACGGCCCACAAAGAAAAAAAGAAGGGAAAAGGGGTCCACCACAAAAAAGGGAAAACTGGTCCACCAAGAAAAAAAGATGTGAAAATTGATCCACCAAGAAAAAAAGAAGGAAAAAGGTGGCCACCATGAAATAAACGAATGGAAAAGGGTCTCACCAAGAAAAAAAGATGGGAAAAGGTGGCCACCATGAAATAAACGAATGGAAAAGGGTCTCACCAAGAAAAAAAGATGGGAAAAGGGGGCCACCAAGAAAAAAAGAATGGAAAAGAAGTTCACCAAGAAAAAAAAGAAGGAAAAAGTGGTTCACCAAGAAAAAAAGGAGGGAAAAGAAGTCCACCAGGTAGAAAAGATGGGAAAAGGGGTCCACCAAAAAAAATGGTGCGGAAAGGGTCCACCAAGAAAAAAAGAGGAGAAAAGGGGTCCACCAAGAAAAAAAAAGAAGGGAAAAGTGGTTCACCAAAAAAAAAAAAAGAAGGGAAAAGGGGTTCACCAAGAAAAAAAGAAGGGAAATGGAGATACCAAGAAAAAAAGAAGAGAAAAGGGGTCCACCAGGAAAAAAAAGTAGGGAAAAGGTGTCCACCTAGAAAAAAAAAACAGAAAAGGGGTTCACCGTAAAAAAAAAGAACGCAAAAGGGTTTCAACAAGAAAAAAAGTAGGGAAAAGTTTTCCACCAAGAATAAAAAGAAGGGAAAAGGGTTTCACCAAGAAAAAAAATAGAAAAGGGCGCCACGAATTAAAAATGAATGGAAAAGGGGTTCACCAAGAAAAAAAAGAAGAGAAAAGGGGTTCACCAAGAAAAAAAGAAGGCAAAAGGGTTTCATCAAGAAAAAAAGAAGGGAAACGTTTTCCACCAAGAAGAAAAGAATGGAAAAGGGGTTCATTAAGAAAAAAAAGAAGGCAAAAGCGGTCCATCAAGAAAAAAAGAATGGAAAAGGTTTCCATCAAGAAAAAAAGAAGGGTAAAGGGGTCCACCAAAAAAAAAAAAGAAGAGAAAAGGGGTCCACGGAGAAAAAAAAGAAGGGAAATATCGTTCACGAAGACAAAAAGAAAAGAAAAGTATTCCACCGTGAAAGAAAAAGGGAAAAACCGTTCACCCATAAAAAGAGATGGGAAAAGGGGTTCAGCAAGTAAAAAAGAAGGGAAAAGGGGTTCACCATTAAAAAAAGAAGAGAAATGGGGTTCACCAAGTAAAAAAGAACGGAAATGTGGTTCACCATGAAAAAAAGATGGCAAAAGCGGTCCATCAAGAAAAAAAGAAGGGTAAAGGGGTCTACCAAGAAAAAAAAGAAGAGAAAAGCGGTTCACCGAGAAAAAAAGAAGGGAAATATCGTTCACGTAGACAAAAAGAAGGGAAAAAAGGTTCACCTATAAAAAAAGAACAGAAAAGAGGTTCACCAAGAAAAAAAGAATGGAAAAGTGGTTCACCAAGAAAAAAAGAAGGAAAAAGGGGTTCACGAAGCAGAAAAGAAGGAAAAAGGGGTTCTCCAAGTAAAAAAGTCGGGAAACGTCGTCCACCAAGAAAATAAAGAAGGGAAAAGGGTTTCACCAAGAAAAATGTATGGAAAAGGGGTTCACCAAGAAAAAAAGAAGAGAAAAGTGGTTCACCAAGTAAAAAAGAACGGAAATGTGGTTCACAGAGAAAAAAAGAAAGGAAAATGGGTCACCTAGAAAAAAAGAGCGGAAAAGTGGTTAGCAATAAAAAAAAGAATGGAAAAGGTTTCCATCAAAAAAAAAGAAGGGTAAAGGGTCCATCAAGAAAAAAAAAACAAGAGAAAAGGGGTCCACCGAGAAAAAAAAGAAGGGAAATATCGTTCACGATGACAAAAAAAAAGAAAAGTTTTCCACCGTGAAAAAAAAGGGAAAATCCGTTCACCCATAAAAAGAGAAGAAAAAAGTGGTTCAGCAAGTAAAAAAGAAGGGAAAAGGGGTTCACAGAGAAAAAAAAGAAAGGAAAATGGGTCACCAAGAAAAAAAGAGCGGAAAAGTGGTTCGCCAATAAAAAAAGAACAGAAAAGAGGTTCACCAAGAAAAAACGAAGGGAAAAGTGGTTCACCAAGTAAAAAAGAAGGAAAAAGGTGTTCACCAAGAAAAAAAGAAGAGAAAAGGGGTTCACCAAGAAAAATGATGGCAAAAGGGTTTCATCAAAACAAAGAATGTAAAAGGTGTCCACCTAGAAAAAAAAGAAGGGAAATGTGGTCCACCAAAAAAAAAAAGGAAAAGGGGTTCACCAAGAAAAAAAGATGGGAAATGTGATTCATCAAGAAAAAAATAAAGAAAAAAGGGGTTCACCAAGAAAAAAGAAGGGAAACGTGGTCCACCAGGAAAAAAAGTAGGGAAAAGGTGTCCAACTAGAAAAAAAGAAGGGAAATGGGTTCACCAAGAAAAAAAGAAGGCAAAAGGGGTTCATCAAGAAAAAAAAGAAGGGAAAATGGTTACACGAAGAAAAAGGGTCCTCTAAGAAAAAAAAGAAGGGAAATATCGTTCACCCAGACAAAAAGAATGGAAAAGGTTTCCACCAAGAAAAAAGAAGGGAAAGGGGATTCACCGAGAAAAACGATGGGTAAAAGTTTTCATCAATAAAAAAAGAAGAGAAAAGGAGTCGACCAAGAAAAAAAAGGAAAAGAGGTTCACCAAGAAAAAAGAAGAGAAAAGGGTTTCATCAAGTATAAAGAAGGGAAATATGGTTCACCAAGACAAAAAGAAGGGAAAAGGTGTCCACCACGAAAAAAAGAACGGAAAAGGGGTTCACCATAAAAAAAAAGCGAAACGTGGTTCACCAAGTAAAAATGAAGGGAAAAGTTTTCCACCAAGAAGAAAAACGGGAAAATGGGTTCAATAAAAAAAGAAAGAAAGGAAAAGTGGTTCCCCAAGCAAAAAAAAAAGAGAAAAGGGGTTCATCACGTAAAAAAGAAGGGAAATGTGATTCACCAAGTAAAAAAGAAGGGAAAATGTGTCCGCCTAGAAAAATAGAAGAGAAATGGGGTCCACCACGAAAAAAAGAATGCAAAAGTGGTTCACAAAGAAAAAAAAGAAAGGAAAAAGTTTCACCAAGAAAAAAGGAATGAAAGAGGAGTTCCCAAGGAAAAAATGAGGGGGAAAAGAGTTCACCAAAAAAAAAAGGGCGGAAATGGGGCTAAAAAAGAAGGGAAAATTGGGCTACCAAGAAAAAAAGAAGGGAAAAGGTGGCTACCAAGACAAAAAGAATGGAGAAGGGGTTCACTAAGAAAAAAAAGATTGTCCACCTAGATAACAAAAAAAAAAAAATAGAAGGGAAAAAGGGTTCATCAAGAAAAAAAGAGTACAAAAGGGGTCCACCGAGAAAAAAAAAAGAAGGGAAATGTCGTTCATCAAGACAAAAAGAAGGGAAAAGGTTTCCACCATGAAAAAAGAAGGGAAAAGCGGTCCACCAAGAAAAGAGAAGGGAAAAGGGGTTCACCAAGTAAAAAAGAAGGGAAAATGTGCATCATCAAAAAAATGGAGGGAAACGTGGTCCACCAAGAAAAAAGAAGGGAAAATGTGTCCATCTAGAAAAAGAGAAAGGAAGAGGGGTCCACCACGAAAAAAAGAACGGGAAATGGTTTCACCAAGAAAAAAAGAAGAGAAAACGGGTTCACCAAGAAAAAAAAAGGCAAAAGGGGTTCATCAAGAAAAAAAGGGTTTCACGAAGAAAAAATAATGGAAAAGGGGGCCACCAAGAAAAAAAAGAATGGAAAAGGGGTTCACCATGAAAAAAAGGAGAGAAATGGGGTTCACTAAAAAAAAAAGAAGGAAAAAGGGGTTTACCAAGAAAATATGAAGGGAAAATGTGTCCACATACAAAAAAATAAGGGAAAATTGTTTCACCAAGAAAAATGTAAGAGAAAAGGGGTTCACTAAGAAAAAAAGCAGGGAAAAGTGGTCCACCAAGAAAATAAGTAGGGAAAAGGGGTTCACCAAGAAGAAAAGTAGAGAAAAGCAGTTCACCAAGAATATAAGTAGGGAAAAGTGGTCCACCAAGAAAAAAAGAAGAGACAAAATGTTCACCAAGAAAAAAAAGAAGGGAAAATTGGTCCGCCTAGAAAAAAAGAAGGGAAAATGGGTTTTCCAAGAAAGAAAGTAGAGAAAATGGTTTCACCAAGAATAAAAGAAGGGAAAGGGGACCACCAAGAAAAAAAGAAGGGAAATGGGTTTCACCAAGAAAAGAAGAAGGGAAAATGGCTCCACCAAGAAAAAAAAGTAGTGAAATATGGTTCACCAAGAAAAAAAAAGGGAAATTTTTTTCCACGAAGAAAAATAAGAGAAAAGTGGTCCTCCAAGAAAAAAAGATGGGAAAATTTTTCAACCAAGAAAAAAAGAAAAGAAAAGTGGTTCACCAAGATAAAAAGATGGGAAAATGGGTCCATCAAGAAAAAAAGAAGAGAAAAGGGGTCCACCAAGAAAAAAAGGAAGGGAAATGTAGTTCACCAAGAAGAAAAGAAGGGAAAAGTGGTCCACCAAGAAAAAAAAGGAAGGGAAATGCGGTTTACCAAGAAAAAAAGTAGGGAAAAGGGGTCTACCAAGAAAAAAAGGAAGGGAAATGCGGTTTACCAAGAAAAAAAGTAGGGAAAAGGGGTCCACCAAGAAAAAAAGTAGGGAAAAGGGGTCCAACAAGAAAAAAAGTAGGGAAAAGGGGGCCATGGGCAAAAAATTTTGAGAACCACTGATTTCGACTTTCATTGACTCACAACATTTGTCAGAATCGAAAAAATATTAATTTATTTTATGTTCATAATATTAATACTGTCTCAAATTTATATCCGACTTCAGGAAAAGGTATTTTTTCCTAATATTTCAACTTCCGTCATTTTACTTTCCTCTCAACTACGATTTTCAAAAATTTAAATGCAATGTCAGTCGTCATCTTCCATCTACTTGAATCTTGTTATTTTATCGTCTGTTTCTTTCATTCCCTTGTATCTTATGTCGCTTTGCTTGGGGTAAAGTGATTCAAAATGTTATTGCAAGACTACTAAGATATGGCCCTCATGTTTTGACAATGCCCTGCCGTATTTCATATCTATCTATCTATGTATATATATATATATAAAAGTGAAAAATGAAGTCAACATTCAGAGGTGACATGCTGTTTCATGCTGGATGCAACCGGATCGATTCGTAACGCTTGCAAAAAAAGCCGAATCTAATTTCAAACACGAAGAGGCGAGAAAGAGAATGAGAGCTAGCAATCAGGAGGACATAGCAATGTCCGAGATAAGCGACTTTAATTACGACTACCAAGAGACCATTAAAAATAACAACGTGCCGGCAACACATACAGATAAGCATTTATTTGAATACGTATCGTGTTCCTTTCTGCGAACAAGACGGTAATAAACAAAATATTATACACGTCGGAAGACGCACCAGAGATGGTACTGATATACGTACCCCCGATTCTAAGGCCGACCAGCCAATTAGGGACTCTGTACTTCACTTTCGAGATGACTACATGCTAGAGCTGGAATGCTTCTACGAAAGTCTGCAGCATCCACAAAAAGTGTCGGTTACGAACAAGGCTTGCTCTGTAGCGGCGGTGGGGCCTGACATTCATTATGACCAATCGCTGATAGTAGAGCCCAATCGTCACTTCCACGGGCAGATACTGAAGAGGCTAGTCCACGGAAGAACCAATGTGTTCACTGATGTGGCAAACAAGGTGACGGTGGGGGTTAAGAGTGGGAACTTTGCAAAGAAGTAGGATATAAAAAGAGGCCCGCTTAGCTGTACATTCACCCTTCAGACCCGATCGAAGTAACTGTTCAGCGACAACTACGCATTACTTCAGCTTAGTAGAAACGACCAAGAAAGATTGAGATAATGATAATCGAAAACTTTCAGTCAACTAGCGACAACAGCAGCAGCAAAAGCGGCATCGTGGAGCGCGATACGTTCAACAGAAAGATCTTAAACGACGAGAATAAGGGGGAGAATAGAAGCTCACTGTCTACGCTTGGATATACAGGTGGGAGACGGCCAGCGAGTTCGAAATAAGAATGCCGAAAAACAAGGGACTGCTACCGGCCAAGAGAACGCTGAGGGGTATCGAGAATGAAGAGAAACTTTACCTCTTCAACGTTCTCGAGAATTGCCCCAACATAATCGTATACCACAAATCCGGGCCCAGCAAACTAAAGAACTATAGCGACGTGGACCATTTTGACATGTTGACGTGGCACAGTCAACACCCGACCTGCCTTCATTCCTTCAACATTCTGAAGAAGCTATTTAAGATGAGAGGGAGCAACCCGTCACCGTGTAGGTACAGAAAGTGTACAACCCACACGGGCTGTGCGGCTACCTGACACGAGATAGCAGCGGGAAACATCGAAACGATCGGGCAGCGCAAGATGCTGGAACGGTTAACAGAGCGTCGAATGCAAAAGGTGGAAAAGATATCGTCGGGCGAGGACGACGAATGCCCGGAGGAACGTAGGACCACGGTGATGGGGGAAAAAGATGATGAAGAAGTGCAACAGTACCGACCTGGCGGACGTGATGTTGTATTGCAAAAATACTAAAAACGAAAACTACAGAAAGACGTGGGAATCAATCCACCGCAACACGCCCAACCTGACCAACATTATCAGCGCGGTTGCGACTGATTGCCACACCGAAACTAAGGTGAGTCCGATATGGGAGCAGATCCGGGCAAAGACGGAATTCTTCCAACCGCAGAAGAACTATTACTGGTCCATAGAGTCTGGCGATTTTCGAAGAATGGCGCTCGTTCCACAGAATATATATAGATACGTTCGCTAAGCACACGTTCAACGTTTGTCACAAGATAACGCCGAAAATAAATAGCCTCCACATTACCAGGGGTTAGCAACTCCGGTAAGTCTTACATACTAATATCCATTAAGAAACGTTATCATGAATTGCGGGCGAATGAGGTGCCAAGCGTCGGACAACTTCACGTTGGGTAGCTGCGTCGACAAGACGGTAATTTACACCGACGAGATGCGGTTCACTCCCAACAACATAGGGGAAGCGAAGTGCATACTCGAAGGCACAGAGACGTACGTCAACGTGAAGCACCAGAACGAGAGGATACTTAGACGCATGTCCCGCATCAGCACATCCAACGACGAGCTGTGGAGACATGTTCTCGGGGACAAGCAGACTTTACTTAACCGAATGCACTACTATGAAACTAGGAACCCCATGAATTCTTTGAAGGAATGGGGAAAGATAGAACTAAACCCGTTGAGGTGGTTGACCATATGGGGAAAAACACATTGACGCGTACATAAACAA